GACGAGTCGAGCGGCTAGTCGTTAAAGGATATGGGATTGATAATTCATCTTTCTACACTGATCGATTAAGGCATTTAATAATTTGTCCCGAGAAAAATATAATAATTTATTGAAAAAAGTTTGCACTTTACTACAACGAATAAATGGACTGAATTGTGCAAAATGATATAATATTAATTATACTCATACATTGAAGTTCTCAGACGTTTAGAAAATGCGAAGCATGACTTTACTGGCTGTGAGTCCTAAAGAACAAATGGTGAGCGATGATGACTAATGTTCTTATTCGAAGTCTAAATATATTTTCGTAACATACGAATTGAGCTTAACATACCGGATTTATAAAAAACGATGGATAAGTGAGCTAAAACCAGGACGAAAAAAACAAGATGTGAATTAGAGTAAACTTGCCTAAATCCGAGAGATTAAAGGCAATCCAATCAAATTCATCAAGCATTTGATCATCTACTTTCTTTTTAGGACTTAATCGGCTCTCAGTATCATTGTAACCAAACTTGGCTAAGGTGCCAGCATTTGGCGAGCATCCAAATTGAGGCAGATTAGCGTTTGGCCACTGAAGATCCTCATCTACAGCTATAAGATGACAAATATTGTTGATAAATAGAGAGGCGTGTTTATGCATCAGATGTTTGAGTAGTTCTGGGCGCAATGAATCTGAATTAATGGCTAATATTCCCCGTTCAATTAGCTAGGTTAAAAAAGTAATATAATATAAATATTAGAAAGTAAACTTAAATGCTTTCGGTAAAAATTTAATTAGAAGTGGAACAGTTAAGTAAAGATGCAAATGTAGAATTCAAACCTGGATGTCCATTATAGTATTTTTGAGGAGAGTTTTAACTCCAGTATAATCTCTCTTTTTGATGGTAACATTTGCCATACGAGACAAGGCGGTGATGATGCAATCAGAGTAAAGCTTATTTATATCCTCAGAAAGCAATAGCAATATCCCATCGATAAGCTCTGAGGGTAACTCGGATACAGGGTCATCTGAGAGGACGAAATGTAAATCATCTGCAAAAGTGGATACGGGATCTGTAGTGAGGAGCACGGACATTATAGAATTATGGTCCGTGAATCTTTCAATTAAACCTTCTTCTTTTTTTTCACCTATATTTTCTTTTTTGTTGGCCACGTACTTCCTTTTCATATTTTTAGTTTTGACTTCTCTGGCACCCACCTCAAACGAACATGCAGCTCTGGATACCTTAGTTAAAGAGTTGCATTGTTCATGCTGCTTGCTAACGACCGGTGTTCTAGAAGCGACGAATGACTGGAGAGACTCTATGCGGAGAGCCTCCTCTTCTGCTTTTTTCATAATGATTAGTTCAAGTTTGAAGAAGCAGTGTTTTTTAAAGTCATTACTAACGACATAGATAGCATTCTGCAGTAAGCATGCAGGTTTTCCCTTGATAAATGGTGCCATTATAGCTTCGATTTCTTTCTGATTAACACTGACTGGTAGGTAAAAATTCAGATCAACCCAAGAGGAATCAGATATAGCCCCATCAATAGCAGCCTTTATTTGAAGAAATAAGGATTCACTGATGCTAATACCATCAGAGTGTGAAGCCTCCTTAAATTTGGATTCCACATATAATTCGGGATCACTTATACCGATTTGCTTAATAAAACCCCATTCAACGTAGCCATTTTGCTCGAAAAATGTTGTAATATATGTATCCTGAGCGCGTACGAAGCAAGAAGGCACAAAGACACCTTCACTGACCACAAAACTTCCCATTACTTTGCTAGATATAATGAGTCCCTCCAGAAGAAAAACGAAGATGCTCTCAGCAAGATTTAGTTTTGCAGACGCGACATTGACTGTTACTGGCCTTATAAGAGCGTTACAGTATCCTCTTATCTTTGCTCTAAATTTTTCTAAATATACATCCGTGTAGATAGTCTCGCCATCTTTGTGGACATTACACATGTGTTTGTCAACTATATTGCTGACCAAGTGCGTGGGTAAATCGAATTTCCTAGAAAGTTCGATTAGCGTAGTGAACCCTCGTTCTTCCATTACATCTTGGATTTCACGAGCAACACGGATTATATATGAGTAAGATATCACTTCACCGGGTAGTCCCATTATCCTATTGGGATTTTCGCTATTAACGTCTTGACCAATTAGATCAGCGGTCCTACTCTCAATAATATGAGCATCAATGTCCATTATTGCGGAAAGCTCTGAAATCAGTATCCTACCTGAATGCGCTTCCAATTCATTAATAATTTCTTTGTTGACTTGTTCCTTCGTTAAGAAATTGCGACCATCAATTGTATGAAAGAGTTTTATTCGAGAGTTCAACTGATGCAGAATCGTTATCCATGTTCGTTCAGTAAGGCAAAGGCCATATTCCTCATCTTGAGTCCTTTTTAATACGCCTACGAGTTGCCTAATCTCTCCGCACGTGGACATAGTAAGGAGTAACGGCGGTAAGTAATTACGAGTAATGAAAAAGACGCAACAGGGGAACACTTGACATATGCTTCCAATAAACTTATTCACTCTGTCTGAATCATTCTCAATATTAATTAAATACATAAATATAACGCAAAAAATAAATGCCAAATTTTTTTTGATATTTATTAAGTTGAATAAAAGTAAAACTAGGTGTTTAATAGGGTAAAAGTACACTAAGATATTCACTTAGCTATCCATTTGCATAAGTTGGCTCTAATTACAGCTATGTATTCAAAAATAGAACATAGATGTAAAATAAT